AATTGCATGTCATGGTTTCATGCATCTTAGTTTAGTCCCAGACTGAAGTTATAGGCACAGCAGAGAAATGGTAAGCAGCTAGAATCCAAGGATAGTACAAGGTGATGCCACTATCAATAAACCATTTGAGGAAAAATACAGTTTATTTAAATACCATTCTATAAACTGCCCCCCACTTAAAAAAATAAAGTAGATACATCTTGCACAACATACTGGCCCTCTGCCTTGACTACTAAAGCAGGAAGAAAGATGTCTTTGTTTCTTACACCATTAGTTTTAGCAGTAAATCTGAAGGATGTTTTTTAATTAGAAGTAATACATTTTAAACAGATATTGGGAAAACATTTAAGTCTTTTATTATGCATGTGCAGGAAGTTGCCTTTTTTTGTCCATAACTATAAGTCTGCAGAATTCACTCATACTGTGGGACTTGAATTTTCACTGCCAAAAAAACTTATTTTTTCCTCAGTAACTCTCTCAAGGATCAAAGCTTCTTCTCAATATTACATTTTCCTTCCCCAAATATTGACATATGTTGTTTAAACTACAGTACAATATTATGGGTGTGGCAATTTTAATATATATCTTTTTCAAATTCTATATATACTAAATCTTATTAACCCAAATCAAGTTTATACAAAAGCATACACACAAACTGTACACAGAAGATGGAAACAAGTATGTGTGTATAAATTATCCATAAGTAAAAGGGCTTAAATTATTTTCTAGGTCTTTTGAGGCAAGAAGGAATATTTTTATTTATTTGGTGACTCTCCTGGGTTGTCTTCAAATGTGATTTGCCAATCAGGATTTCTGCTTATGTGACATGTATCTCTCAGTTGTGCTTCTGTTGGCTAAGCAGTAGATTAATACCTGAACCCTTTCCATCCTATTTTTGAGCCATATCTTTCCTTTTCAGGAAGGAGGAATGAATAAAGTTCAAATGCATATTTATTTAACTTATTTCTAGGCAGAAGGATCAGCGTAGTAGTCCAGGTCATGTGGTGCACCTTTGCAAGATGCAGCTATGATTGGCTGCCTCGGAACTCTCTCAGCTGAAGATAAACTTGACTTATGAATTTTAAGGGTATAAGCCAGGGTCTGCAGTCTGACATCAGATGACCAACGTACAATCTTCAGTGTTTATCCCTAGCAGTTGCAGCTTCTTCTGTAGGTGCACAAAAAGACACTGTAGTAGAGTTCTTTCCCTGAATTCTCACTGTTCAAAAAACTAATAAGAAAACATGACAGAATGTATTGTTATGCAATGACTGGGATAGAATCTTCCAATCTACACTTCAAAACTAAGTTCTAGAGCTACTACTGGCAGGACAGATAAACTCTTTCTGCCTTAGTTTCCCTGTACAGATAACAACATGTACCTTTCTCACTGGGGAACTTTAATTAATCAACAACTGTGCATTGCTATATAGAGCAGAGCAATCTGGCATGAGCAGTTTATTCAATGAATTTACCCTGCTTGCAGATAATCTTTGAGCAGATGGTGTTATTATCAGCCACAGAGGAAAAGAGTTAAAATCACCCCAGCCTGAACATTGCTCTGTTTTATTTCACTTACAGAATCTTCAGACCCAAGGAAGTATTTCTCAAAAATGAGGAACCTTACCTTTTCAGCTGTCTGAGAACCACCTTCAAAAGACAGTGCCCATGGGACTGCTGGAGCTCTTCCTATCCCCAGGGAGACAGGTGCAGGAGGCTTCCATATGATGTTCGACTGTTCAAGGTCCACTGGGATCTGTCCACACTTCAGAAAAGATTTTATCTTAACTAGAAAGCCTTTTTAAAATGTCTTGTCTCAGCTGAAGCCTTCAGATAATGGACAGACTTTCTTTGACATCAGGAAACAAAACATCATTTTGAAGGATAACACAGAGTCAAGTCAGAATGAGTTTTACTTCAAAAAATATTCAAGAATTCTATCATTCAAGGTAACAATTACATACCACATAAATTCACTGCTTGCTATTCAAGAGAAAAACTGCTTGTTATCATTGAGTCTAACTTAGGTATTTCAAAGCAGTGTTCCTCATTGTTACTTTTCTTTATTTTTTAATTTTTATTCCCCTGGAGACTAACTTAAGGTGTACGTGAATTTTCAAAAAGGAATTTTATAACTCATAATGTTTCAGCAGTCATTGTCTAGCCTTCTAAACAATGAGCACAAGGCTATATGGTATAGCTTAGTTTATATTTAATATTTATTTAGATATTAACAAATGCAATTTTTAGCCTTGCAAGTTAACAGTCATCTAACGTTTGACAGCTAGTGGTCGGTGTGATTACATGGGCTGTCAAAGACAACCTCTGTTCTGATACAGAAAATATGCAACTTGATTGCTCAAAACTAGATAACGTTATTAAGGATTTTGCTGTAGGACCATGCCTTCAGTTTATGAAGTCAGAAATTGCATTACATTTCTTTGTCTCTATTACTTCTGTCTAGAGCAAACCATCTAACCCTTAAAGTACCTAAATCCCAGAGAAGTCATAGGTATCGCTGTCTGATTGTGAGAGTTTTAACGTCCTTAGGAGACACAGTTGGTATCTGCTTGTGCTTGAATGTGCAGCGGTGACAGAGACAATTATGCGCTTTAGTACCATCTCCTATTTAAGTCAGTTTAGATGAATTAAATTGTTTGTATTTAAAAGTTATTTGTACAATTCATGATGAACTGCTTGGAACTAAGTGCTTCTTGTAAGTGCTGAATCTAAAACCACCTGAGAAACTTAGAAAGGACACCTGTGTTAATACCTTAATCTGAAATTTCATCACTTTTCTAATGTAATGAAATGGTGCCAAACATAATGGGCACAAAATTGGAAATTGGTTTAACAGGAAATTTGACACAATTGGAATTGATTTGTTTTTGAATGTCACTTGTGCAGCATGCGGAGCAAGGGGCGATGGACACCGCGCTGGATGTACGGAGGTGAGCTCTCTACACCTACGCTTCCTGCATCTATTCTATGATCCATCTTATGACTTTTTCAGACAGGTATATATAGACCTTCAGAAAGCCATGGTCCATTGTGCAGGTAAGTTGGGTACACTGAAAATTTATAGCATTTATGAGGAATAGATTACTTAGAAGGAAAGTAACACGAAGCTTAAATGCCTGTAAAAATCATGTCAGTTCCCTTTAGTAGGTTTGGTGTAACTGTAAGATACTGTACAACTGTACCACTACTTTAAAACCTACAGGAAGTCTCAAGTCATTTCAGCTGACAAATTCATATATATATTTTTTTTTTTCTTGTGTGTTCTTGTTTATTTCTTTTTGCTGGGCACTCATCATATTCCAAACTTTATCTTTCTCATTTGGATGTTGTACAATCAATGAATATACAGACGTTAGAGCATGTATATAGAGTTTGGCTACATAGTTATTACACTAAAGCAGCAAAGATGGGACATTTACCCATATCCTGGGCTCACTTATGAGACTCCAGCGGAGTGAATCTCCAGAAGAGATACTTCCCCAGTGGTAGTCAGCTCTTAAATGGGTCTAGAAGAGGTGGAGCAAAGATCCACTCCTTCCAGCAGCACAGGTGAATTGCCTTCACCTGTGCTCCTGTGGCCGACTCATTGCTCACCTCAGGTGATCAATCAGGGGTTCAGGCTGTGATTCAGCAGTTCCCATTACAGATGTATTAAGAAGCGCTACCTATCAGATACTACAAGTTAAATTGGTGGAAGATCAAGCAGTTTGCGTATGAGCAAGCACTGAGTATCTAAAAGTATGCACAAAAATTACGAAAGCAGACTGAGGAGGTGTACGTGCCAGCAAAGGAGACTTGGAGCTATGCTTTGGCTTTATGTTCAATTGCATACATGCAAAGCAGAATTTCTCTTCATATCCAACACATGAGCAATATTATCCCTGTGTGAACCTCTGGGTAACATTTATAGTTTGCTCATTGGATCACTTAGATAAAGAACTCTGTCACTTTGTCACATCGGCATTAACTTGAGCCACAGGAATTGAGCTAGATGACTAAGGATGCCCATTAACTTTTGAGCCAAACCGCAATACAGTCACTCCCGCTTCCCCAGAGAAAAATGCCAAAATCCTCATCGATTTCAGTGGGGATAGGCGTTTCCCTGAGCAGACATTTCTGCACTGCAGAGGGATTGTGCCAGACTGTCTGTACTAAGGAGTCTCCATACGTTCTCTGTTCACATGAAAGCAAGCAAGCAATGTGGGAAAGTATTATCTGTTCACGTAACGAGTAAAAGAAGGTGCACATCTAGACTCAAAAAGTGAAGACAAATCACGAAAGACATAACGTGTCTAAACAAGAAAAAGGACAGAGAGCAGGAAGACCTATGTCCTGTGTTTAACAGGCGCTTCGTGTTCCTTCCTCTCAAGCAGAGAGACTTTTAGACATGCTGTACCATCTGAAGTCCTTCACTTCTTCCTTCCAACACTGTGTCAGTTTTGGTTGTAAAGCCCCACCACACAATCACCCTTTTCAATGTAACTTATGATTATTGTCTCCAATTCTTTCTGTACGTTAATAGATGAATGCTTCCATAAAGAAACAAATTGTGCAGCCCCGGCAGCTCAGTGCTGTGGAGATCATGGAGGAAAAAATTGAAGAAAACAGAGAAAACGTGAATAGTTTTAGACTCAAAGGCCTTAATTAACAATGTATGAAAGGGACATTAACTCAAATATTAAAAATAATCTACTTATATACAAATCTTTGGTGATTGCCATTAATTGGCATAGAACGCATAAGCTTTCAGAAAGGCTTGTGTTATCCTGTAAGGTAGTAGCAGAATCGTGGGCAAGAAAACGAACCTGAGAGAAGTACAGTCCCTTCTTGAGATGCTGCAATAGCATTCTCACATCATAGCACACGTAAAAAAAAAAATTGAACATCACATTAAAAAAAAGACTCAGAAGACTGCAAATATTACTGTAAGTAATATAAGAGAAAGTAAAACTTCATTTGTTCGTTCATCTCACCATTCTTTAAAACAACCTGAAAGACAACAGCAGAATTACAGACAGTCCCAAGTTGGGAGAGACTTGTAAGGTTCATTGAGGCCACCTCCGACTCCATACAGCATGACTGACAAAAAAGAAAATAAAGAACAGAAATCAGAAAAATCATGTCAATATGAAAACCTCATTAATTAAGTTGTATGATAGTATTTGGAAATGAGAACGAGTTCAATTACTTCAACCACAGAACAAAGAAGGAGGAGAAAGAAGAATTTTGTACTTAAAAAAAAACCAACACTGAAGACAAGCAAAGTGCCTTATCTTCTTTGTCATTTAGGATTTGAATCTCCTAAAATTTAATTTACATCCTGTCTGATTTATATTCCGGAATAGTTGCTAATCAGACAAAACTGTTCCACTTTCTATGAGAGCTGAGAATAGGGCTTGATATCCAGTGGATATCAAACTATAGATTCATTTTCATTTTCTGTCTGACACTCTAAATATTTGAACAACTTGAGCAGGAGTGGCAGAGGGATGCACCCTAGAATACTAATTGCCTTTGAACATTCATTACAAATTGGTCAGTTGTTTGGGAATTCATTTAGAAAGCATGAAAGGTGGATGTTTAAGTTATTCATTAATAAGGATGGTGAGAAAGGAAGCTGGCTTCCACATTGAAGAGGTTTTTTTGCTAGTCTAAAAACCTAAAGTTATTTCTAAATGCAGAACTTAGTGAATATAACCTTAAGAAGAATTTAGGAACATGCAAACTGCAAGAAAGGGCAGCCTGTATAAGAAAGAATAAGTAAATTGTATGTGGATCCTGATCTTTGTGAAAGAACATTTGAAATGTAGTCGTGTATGCATACACAAACATTCTGTAATTTAGATGCGCTAAGTACGCTTTCATTCAGAAAACAAAGTCCATCTCACATAGAAGCAAAGACTAGAATTAAATTAAATTAAAGAAGGAAAACAAAAACTTGATATTGACAAAAGGGAATAATTTTAAGTTACTCAAATTATACAGGTCTTAAGTTGGCATTATTCTGTACAGTCTTGCAACTCTTTGGTAGCTACATCCATTTTTGAAGATGCCAACATTAGATTCTTAGTCCTAAGGTCTTTTTGCAGTGCTCAGTGCAGATGAGCTGCGCTGTTTGCACTCTAAATTTTCATTTCATTATAATCAGGCATTCAAAAAGCTCCAGCTGCTAGACAATGTAAGAGAGCATGGCATTCATAAAGCTGCAATTCTGTATTAGTGGTCTTGAAGAATTGAAAACCTGACCCAGGAGTATGTCAAAACAGGAAACTGGAGGGATTTCTTTCTGTCACTGTGCCATATGTGCATGATTTCACATTTAGGAAATGATCAGCTTCAAGACAATCCCCCTTCTGGAATGTGATTTTTCTAGTGCTTCTAGTTTTTGTGTATGAGAGAAGATGGGAAGAAAATCAAAGTGTTTAAAAGACAAAGGAAAATAAAATGAAAACTTACTTAGCAGCAATAACTACAAACAAAAAGGTTATTTTTAAATCTGCAGGACTAAACAATCACTCCCACGATATAATGAAATCCAGAAAATATACCAAAAACCTAGAGAAGGAATTAGCTGTGAATGCAGTGAAAGTTGAAGAAGATGCCTTGAACATCTTAGCAAGTAGCTTCAAGTCAGGAGAAAGTTACTTAACAGAGGAAACATGCAATTATTTTCAGTTCTCTCCTTCCATTGGATTAAACAATAACAACAAAATTGCCATGGACTGTATTAAGTTATTAAGTGAATGACAAACTTCACTTACCTTAGATTATTGACTCAGATCCCATATCCTTCTCTTTCTCCATAAAACTGGCAGGCCTACTCTGACAGTAGGCTGTGTTAGGCATTTGCATTATTATGCAGTTGCCTCTTTAAAGTTTTGTTTTCTTGCTGTTGGGAAAAATATTCATGCAAAGTCTTGCATCAGAGATAAGGCTGATTTTCCCTGCATCCAGGTTCACTGTTCACTACACACAGCATCATAGAAAATCAGCTGCTGGTGTATGTAATTACAGTCATGCACAATAGATATGCCACAACAACAATTTTGCTTGTTTCTTTACCATATTAATATGGGAGTCATTGGCAGTCAAGCAGAAGACATTTGTCTTGAATTGAAATGAAAAGAGGTCATCTAGTAAAATCCATATACAAGAATTTAACAAAAGACTACTAAAGAAAAAAGTCTTTTAAGAAATAAAAAAAACACTCATTAATTTAGAATTTATCTCACAAAGATGAAAGGATATTGCCAAATAAGATTGAAACGCTGTTTAGCAATTAAACTTTACGTTTTTTAATATAATACTTTTAGGTACATAAAAAGCTTCGTAATAGATAAAAAACAACAATACTATTTATTATTACCTTCTCACAAAAATTAAAAAATAAAAAATAAATTTCTTCAAGCAAAATACATTTAGTTGAGTGAACTGATTTTTTTTAGTTAAACACTGTCCACTTTGGACAAGTAAAGACTGGTAGTTTCCTATCTTGGCTAAGTATCCACAAACCAGACCTTTGTAACAGGATGATCTGTCTTCCAAGAACTAGAACAGCAGTCTTCTCTATATGGGATAAATAATGGCTCCTCACATTCATTCACACTTGCTATTTTCAGTCAGAAATTCAGACTTTTCCCAACATCTTTAAATTTCAGTCAGAAGTACTACTGACAGATGTTGGATACAATTTCAGACCTCCTGGATTGTTAGTTACTGTTTGACAACTTCTAAGCCAAAACGTTCATCTGCTGATGGTATTCAGATATGCATGAACAGGTTTTTCTGTCAACAACACACTAACTCAAATCCTTACTTTTTGTTTTTCACAAAAATCTTTGTGCTTTGTGGGAATTTTCCTAACTCCTGCTGTCTACTTGCTACCAAAGGATGTTGAGATGCACAAACCCAACTGCCATTACCTGATAGTTTCAGGGTCGTATTTTTTTTCTCCCCACTTGTTTGTCATTTTTTAATGTAAAGACTTGTAAACTTAGTGCTGTTTTGTCCTCATTGTATAATCATAACAGCTCTTCTCTTGAGCACTGAAAAATGCAATTTTATCTCCTCTCTCCTCTCCTCTGGCACAAATGTACACAGATGTGCACACGCAAAACTATTTTGTTAAGGCTTACAACTGCCTGCATTGACACTTTTCGCAGAAGTGCATGCTAACAAACAGTCTGATAAGCAATGACTTGTGATTGCAGCAGCAGCATGTAAGGCAGTGACAGCTCTGAAGTCTGAAGTATTAATTGAAAATATGCATTCAAAAGATCCAAACTTCCAAAAAAAGTGACAGTTGCTGTGTTGACAGCAATTGATACAGTGCTACGCTTATCATCAGAACAGGCTAAACAGCAGGATTTCCAGTTCATTAGACTTTTTTTTTTTTTTTTTTTCCAAGCTCTCCAGTAAATAACCCTTTCTGTCAGTTGGCGACATGGAATATCTGCCCATTTCACTGCTAATAGCAAAAGCAAAAAGCAATTAAAACGTTACCTGGACCGTGCCACAGGCTGTGTCAGCAGACCGAGACAATCAACCCCCTTCAGACCCCAACTATCCAAGTAATACTCTGTTGACAGAGCTTATTGATAGCAACGAGTGGGCCAAAATCCACCAAAGAACTACATCTTGCTCCTCGCCTTACTCTATTCAAGTATACATCATGTCCTCACCTTCTTCTCCCTTTGCATTTCCCCAGTACAGCTTTGTCCAAAGTAGAAATCGCATACTGTTGCTGAAGCTACGCACTACTGCAAGCATCTAGGAAAGTATCTAGGGACTATCTGGTGTCTATCTGAACCATCAAGCTTCAATTTTAGATCCTCTGGTTTCTTACAAACTACTCACATGCCACAGTTCTGGCACCCAGGCATGACAAAGTACCAAATATCAAGATTTTTTCTCACCTCTTTTTTCCTCTGGGTCACCTTTCTCATCAGAGGGTCTGTCATGTGCAGGCCGTGGAGATAGATCTGCCACTTGCGTCACTCTTCTGATGTCAGAAACCTTCCTAGTTTGCACCCTGCATTGGCAGCAGAGCTTTTCATACTATGCGTTAGGCCCAACAACGGGGCTTGCTCTTCCTAATTTCCATTGGGTTTCAGTGTTTAAGCCCTGAGGAAAAAAAAAAAAAAAAAAAAAAAAAAAAGGAGCTGAAAAAAATCATGGGTGGATGCTGCATTAAGTATGAAATCAGCTGTCGTGCTGGAGATGACTGGAAGGCCATCTTTTAAACCCAACTAGAAGTTGTTGCTCGGAAGGTTTGCCAGACTCTCCATGTAAGATACACTTTCTCAGCTACTTCAATTTTTCTTTTCACTTATGTATCTTCATCTGACTTCTGGTAAAAATGTGAATTCTTATTCCCAATGCAGCTCTGAGCTGCTCATCAGTCAGCAGTAATTGTCACCACTAGAATTTGCACACATATAGCAATAGGAGAGAATGGAAGTTACAAGACCTATTTCTTTCCATCAAAAACCACTGTCAGTGCATCATTTGCACACCTTGGCTGGATTCTCACGGCCTGGAAAGGCTGTGTCACAGCTGTCATTAGCATGTTGGAGAACAAGCAGTGCTCACATAAGCATTCTGACAAGCGGCCTCTTCTGCAAACACCAATCAATTGCCTTCCCTGTTGTAATTCAGATTCCTCCAGCCTTGGCAGCAGATATGTAATCCTGTAGATGAGGAATACAAATGGCTGCATAAGATGTAGTGTAATAAAAGAAAATAATAGTCGGTGTAAGAAGCATTCTCAGGTACTCTCTGCAGTCACACTGGGGAAGCTAACTGAACAGACAGAAGGTCCCCTACCGTCTTTCACATGTGATAATGCAAATCAAATATGAGGCGTGCATCAATTTATCTTTTGAGAAAAACAAGGAAAGAAAGGTGTTAGTAATATTTCACCATAAACTCTCCAAAATCAAGAAGCACCAAAGCTAAGATGCATTCTCAATATCCAACAGACAGCCACATTTATGTATTTTAAGTGTTTAGTCTCAAGATTATTTCAATATTTGTATGAACTTATTGCACCGTATATTTCGTTCAAAATACTACCTAAACTGTCTACAAGAACGGCATTAAATACAGGATCTGAAATCTGCCTTCATGCATTTCATGCTTCTGAATTATTGTCTCACCTTATTGTAGTAAATATGTACAAGAAGATGTCAAGAAATAATATACGGAGGCTAAGGAAACAAAACAGTGCCTACAGAGATGTTCAGCGCAATGGATTAAATGATCCAGAACAAGGCTGGCATATAGAATTTAACTCTGAAATAAGAACGTTCTATATATTATTCCCTCTGTCAAAATACTGTATTTCTCAAAGGAATCACAGCTCAAACTTAGAGATGAAAAAGAAGAGATGCTTCAATCCATTAAATTGTTGTTATTATGAAATTGAGGCATTATTATGAAAATGTTTGTAGTAGGTAGAGCTAATGCTCTGTCCTTTGAAATTTTTTAACGTGGCTTTGAATGTAAAAGTCTGTGATCTGTACTAACTTGAATCCTTCTTTTTGAAAATAATTTTATAGGGGTCTCGGTATTCCCTCTATAAATGGGAATTTTAGAGGCATAGACAGTGTGCAAAATAGTTTGTCACGCTAAGAAAATAACCGGTGCCAGGATGCATAAGGACAGTGGACATGACCACCTCTGCTCTCAAAGAATTTGCATAGTTGCACAGTTTTGCTTGGGATAGGGAGTATTTTTCCAAATAAGCAGACGTGGTTCAAGAATTAACACAAGGCCAGGATTATCATCCAATTTCAAATTGAGGCAGTTATCCCTCTCTGAAGGCTGCAAGTGTAAAAGCATAGACAAGAGCATTGCCAGACAGTGAACCCCAATAAATATGCTAAAATAGGCATAAATATATGTACACACAGACAATAAAACAGTTTTCTATGTTGTATCCAATTGCTAGAAAATTATGTAAACGCTAAAGCCAATAACATTATTCTCAAGCACATTTTGTTGGGCACTGTCAAGTACCTACAGTCATCTACATAATCATAAGATGATGATACAAATGCCTCTTCCCTGCGCAGTATACATCACACTGTAGTATTATTCTACTAATTATCGAATTTATTAAAAATCAAGGGGCTCCTTCAGCATGGTTCAGGCATCTCCTCTGGCATATCAATGACACATCCACTCAACCTGGAATAGTAGACTTTATTGATTATGGCAATTTACGAGTAATTAAAACAAAAATTGTAAACCTGTTCCTTTACCAGTGCAAACACCGCATGTGTGTGCTACAGTTTTTGTTGTGTCCTGCCATTCTAATATTATCCAAGATGGGAAAAATGACGGAAAACAAGGGGAAGTTTAAAGCACAAGGTAACAACACTTCCAGTAGTTGCAGGCTGCGAGCAGATCATCACAGAATAGTTACAGAATCACCAAGGCTGGAAAAGACCTGCAAGATCATCCAGTCCAACCACGCACCTATTACCAATAGTTCTCACTAAACCATATCCCTCAACACAAAATCCAAACATTCCTTGAACACCTCCAGGGTCGGTGACTCCACCACCACCCTGGGCAGCCCATTCCAGTACCTGACCATTCTTTCAGAAAAGTAGTATTTCTTAACGTCCAGCCTAAATCTCTGTTGGCTCAGCTCGAAGCCATTCCCTCTAGCTCTATCACCAGTTACACGAGAGAAGAGCCTGACCCCCAGCTCACTACAACCTCCCTACAGGTAGTTATAGAGAGCAATAAGGTAACCCCTGAGCCTCCTCTTCATCATTCTCAGAAAAATGAAATCCCATCTCCAGAACATGAAAGCTGTGTAAGAAGCTATTCTTTGTCATTTCCGTATGAGTCAAAAGTCACCAAAATGTGCAGTGCCAATCAGCAGGACTATTTACATATTTGAATGTAAATTTGCTGAACAGAATAAGCCTGTAACAGGAAAAGATTAAATCACATATTCTGATAGTATTCATTATGAGAGTTGGATTGAAAACGTATATGTGCACATAGCAACGTATGTTACACACAGCTCACACTGAAATAGGGTTGCCTCCTTCTCCTTAGATTGTTAATACCATCAAATATTTGCATGTGAATTAAACATATTCCAATAACTATTCAATATGGTTCAAAATATCACTACCACTTAGATGCATTAGTATTAACATCTGTATGCTAACAGCATAAAATTTTAGTTGGTTCCTCATGACCCATAGCAATGCAAGCTGTTTCCTTCGCCAGTGAAAAACACTTTCAATTTTTGTCATTTGATGAAGTCCCACAGACTAAAACAACACACGTTTGTTCTCTGCATTGAAGAGGCTTCAGATTACTATATTCAGATCCCAAAAGCATAGCGTTTGCTTTTAGCCACAGGAAGAGTCTCAGGCTACACTGCAGATGTCCTTAGAAAATTCTGGGTAACAATACAGTTTCTGTCTGTAACTTCTAGGCCAAACTTGGTTCTCATTTACATGCATACGTGCACTTGCAAAGAACAACACACCAATGTTTTCACAACTCAGTTTGTACATACCATTGTTTCCCAACAGATAAAATTTTCACTGGTTAAAATGAAGTATTATTGCCCGCAAGCTAAAGGTAGGAATTCAACCTATGAATCAAATGGTCATTTTTCTTCTTTTTGATAGTACGTTTACTAGGCAGTTCCAAGATGTAATCTCAACTTTATGGCAGATGCCACACAAATAATTTCAGCTGAATAATAGTAACTTCCTCCTAATTTTCAAGTTGGTTTAAACAATAAACAATATAATTAATTATATGCATAGGTATATATATATATATATATACACACACACACAGATACACACACAAGGAATAGCCATTTATGCCAGATTCAATGCAATGCACTGAAATCTACAACGCATCGCTGAAAACAAAGCTGCTGTCTGATGCATATGAATGCAGGATAAGCGTGTAGATAATTTCATACCTACCTTACCAGAAACCATGCATAACCTCATCCTTTCATGGAGACATGAAGAAATGGGGCTGATACAAGGAAATCACTTGCTATTCTGGAGATCTCATTTGCAGTCACGTTCTCAAATATATTTGCCCCCCCAAATAGGCCTTGATGGAGGTTACTATTCATGTATTCATATACCTTCTAAGATTAATATGCACACACAGGTGTGTTGAAAGTGCAGCACAGAGGCCCAGGGGCATGTTAAAGTCATAAGTATTTACCTGCTCAAATACGCACGCAAACCTGCTCCTACAGGATATTTCAAATGGAATGCATATATAAGACAAGTAGATACTTACAGGTTTCTTCAACTTGAACAAATCCACATACTAGTTTCTGATCTTAATTTTTGGTGTTATTTAAATAGCATATCAGACATTAGATCCACAGGGTTATTGAACAAGTTCTAATGAAAATGCCTATAACTTTTTTGCTTTTTGGCACCATAAGCAATGGACAACCGTAAAATGTAGGTAGCATATTTATGAAGTATAGAACTAGAGGAAATTTTTCTTGATAAATCAGTTTTCCTCTGAAAAATACACATTTGACTAAATTATGTTTTGCAGAAACATATTGTTTCCAGAGCAATTCAACAAAACTGTCAAAACTTAATTTCAATTTTTTACCACAGATAGATAAAACATTTTTAAGTGAGTTAACATGGATTTCTACATCCACCTGTATAGCCCTAACATCTCAAGAGAACATATTCTTCTTACAATTGGGTTCAGGCTGCTCCTGGAGTGCACTGACAACGACTTTCTAGTTCAGGACAGATCCACCAGAGGTGCAACTTTGCCGGACCTGGTGCTGATCAACATGGAAGAGTTTATTATAGAAGTTAATATCAGAGGCAGCCTGGGCTGCAGCACCCTGGATGAGTTTGTGTTCTTAATGTGGGCCTGGCAAATATTGGAGGCAGGACCTTGAAATTCAGGAGAGCATCCTTCAGGTCAGTTAAGGAATTGCTGGATCAGATCCCCTGGGAAACCAGAGTGAATAAGAGAGGACCCGCTGGGCAAACTGAGGGGAATAAAGGAGAAACATAAGCAGTGGAAGTAGATACGGGTGGCCTGGAAACAATGTAGGGATGCTGTTTGGATGTGCAGCAACGGGATCAGGAAAGCTAAGATAACTAAGATAAGGGATGTGAAAAACAAGGCTTTCTTTAGCTATATTAGGCAGAAGAGAAATGCAAAGGAGAGTATATTTCCACTGATAACTGAAAAGGGAGAGCTGACCTCCAACATGGAGAAGCTCCGTTAATCAACACGTTGGGCTTGTTTAGCTTGGAAAAAGAAGATCCTGGGGACACCTCATTGTGGCCTACCAGAACTCAAAGGAAGCTTACAAGCAGGAGTGGGATTGACTTTTCACACGGTCTCACAGCGATAGGACAAGTGGGAATGGCTTTAAACTAACAGAGGGGAGATTTTGGTTAGATGTTAGAAGTAATTCATTGCTAAGGGAGCAATGAAGCCCTGGCAGCGCTGTCCAGAGCTGTGGGTGCCCCATCCCTGGAGGAGCCTGAGGGTAGGTTGGATAGGAACCAGGCAGCCTGAGCTGGTAGGGGGCAGCCCTGCCCACAGCTGCTGTTAGAACTGAGTGATCTTTAGGGACCCTTCCAATCAAAGCCATTTTGTGATTCTACAATTCTGTGATCATCATTAAACTAAATGCTCTACTTTTAAGAATTATTGGTAACGGAGACCGTAATACTTGCATCAGAATTTAGGAAGTTTCTGCAGCGTAGACTTTTCATCCTGACACATTTTATAAGTGGATTTATTTATAATAAGTCTATGAAACAAATGCATGCAGAAACACATTTCTGAATTTATTACTTCATTTAGTTAAGCTTCAGTAAGGTTGCCGAGGTAAAGCTAATATCAGGACATGGCATACGGTACAGGCTTTCCAGATTTTTCTAAGCAATAAAAATAAATCATAGAAATGTTTCTTGCTGTGTTGTGAAGGCTTATGGGTAATTACCAGTGTGGCCATTCTCACAAACTTCAGTGTTTTAGGATTACTTCTATATTTCATATTTCTGTACTAACAGGCAGCAGCAATAAAAATGTGGAATCCAAAGAAAAATATAACAGTCCATAAAAAGAAATTGACATTATCAGTATTATTTGTGAAGCAGTCATACTTACGTGGAATTTTTCAAGTCTAAACTTGCTTTGGCTTTTTTTTTTTTGTTGTAGTTGTTGGCTTTTTTTGCTTTATTCTGTTTTCATTTCTAAACATTACAGAGATCCAGCCTTCCAGATCTACAACCTTCAGAGATCTTGTCACAGGACTGTGAATTTGGATCCAAACTACACGAAGAAAGATATAAATCCTATGTAGAAACCTCATTCCTACAACAATCCAGCAAAAAATTGAGACAGCTCTCTCTGTCTTGACCAAGCACCCATAAAGGAGAAGACTCTTTCTTTCTACATACCCATACAGAATCCTTTAATTTTTACCCTATTACCCCCCCCTTTTCGGAAAAAATAAAGACTTTTCAAACTTTCATAAGATGTCAAATTATGAAATCTTGCACTTCAATATAATGATAAATCAATCCAAGTTTTAAATATTGTCTGAAAATTTTTGAGCTGAAGACTTAAGCTCACTGCTAGAGGTTATCTTCATTTCTAATGCTATACTTATTTCAAGATGAACCAATAAGTTTTTCTGTTTGTATGCTGCTAAACACTCATCATAATATGTGGTTGTACTTTTAAGATCAAGAAGATTAGAACTATTTAAGGATACCCTATTTATCTTGCTGTCCTTGGAGACAAAGTTATCAGAAGTTATGGATGTCTGCAAATTATCAAAAGAAAAATGTATGTAATGAGAATTACAGCAAAGACATGTAATGAGTAAGGAAAAGCAATTTAAATTCAATAGAAAAAAAATTAGATTCCATAATGAAAGATGCTGTCATATTATATGATGATACTTTATAATAAAATGACAATATATTTTCATTACAGGAGTGATCTGGACTGGGAAGAAATGGAAAATGCTTAAGGAAAATACTGTATGAATGCGATGACTCACCAAGTTTCTTTTTGGATAAAGATATAAGCCAAACCCTTATGTAAAAACTGGCAGTTCTCTATTATTCTTTCAGAAGCGACATTAGATTTTAAAATTGATAAACTTACTCTTAGTTTCTCCAGTCCCTTTTCAAAAACTAGGAGGATTATAAGGAATCACTTATTATGTTTGCTCACTGCTTTTTCAGACTCTATTACTTGTCTATTTCTAAAAGCACAGATGATTAGGAAAACAGGCTATGTGTATTGTTTGTATGCTATCTCAGCACAAAGTACTGCTTGTGTGGAGTACTTATTTTTGAGCGTAATGTTTGTCTCTCTCTCTCTCTCTCTCTCTCTCTCTCTCACACACACACACACACACACACACACACACACACACACACACCACTGACCTCCCAAAAGTTGCATTAAGTTGTGAATGGGAAAACAGAAAACTGATAGCAAATTCTCTGGGCATGCTGGTAACAGGTTGAAGGTTGGACCAGATCATCTTACAGGTCTTTTCTAGCTTTAACGTTTCTATGAATGAGTATTTATAAAAGGCTTACTCCTACTATGATCAAAGGGCACACAAAGCCTGTGTTACATACGGGGCTCAAATCCACATGCAAACATCCTCTTGTAAACAGGAAATGTTGTCACTCATTTGAGCCACATTATCCTAGCATAAACTCACTGTCTACAACAACTTAATGATATAGGCAAAATACATTTTTTTTTTTTTTAAATAACTCCAGTCCTTTTTGAAGAAATTGCTCTTAAAAAGCTTAAATAGATGTTTAAATAAATGTCTTAATAGTGCAAGCGAGGATCAAAGAAGTCATACATTTTACCTCACATTTTACAGCATCCATGCTGTAGCTATTATGGACAAGAAGAAAAGCCTGGCCCTTTGGAGAGAAGCCTGTGTATTATGTGTTTTTAAAGGCAATGCTCACTGAAGAAATTCCCAGAGGCAAGTCATCAAAATACCTTGAAGTCTAGCTAACTTCAGATTATATTATCACTCTTCTCTTAGCTCAAGCTGATGAAAACCACGCAAATATTTATCTGTATGCAGAGAATACAGTTTTTTATGCTAATTATATTAGAAAAGTTTGCGTGTGAGCAGGCTAAGGAGAAACCTAAGAACCTTGCAGGCTTCTCAGCTGAGATGGTGTTCCAGATGAAGTTACAGAAAAGTTTGGAGTTAGAAGGGGGGAAAATGTGAAACAGGTACAAATATATATCTACATATTGAAATATATATATATATATATATACACATATATATATACACACATACATACATATCTTTCAGATCCCCAGGGACATGCTAATTAGTGTTTATTTAGGGCCTCGTGATTCAGCAAGAAAACACTTCTTTCAGAACGTGGCTGTATTTACCTGTTCCCCTCTATCTTCCCTCAGGGCAATAGAGAAATTAATTCTAAAGAAAAAGAGGAACGACAACTATTGCTAAATAATGATTTAATCTTATTTGTAATTCCATTTTAAATCTTCATCACATTAATTGATATTCTGGATGTGTTCTCTGAAGGTAATGCCTCTTATTTTACTATGCTGGCCAACAGTGTCAGAGGAAAACACTGGTGGGATGGCCATACAGGCTGAATCATCCTACGTGTATTCCATTACACTTTGTTGCTGTGCAACAGATGGAAGTAGAGGGGCAGTATGACAAAATACTGTCTAACACTGAAGTGTGTATGGAACCAAGGGATGCAACTTCCCACATAAAGGAAAAAATGGCCCCAGCCAACACTTCCTGACCACTTAGGGAAACCAGAGAACAAACAATAGATGTAAGCACAGTGAGCAGTGGGCGGTACACTTCACCAGGGGTGACAGTGACATGAAAGGTGAGCCACATTCTGGACGGCCATACCGATTTCCATGAGCACGGCACGTGGGCTCTTGTTCACCACAGGCAAAAATGCACAGCTAATGGTAGTGATCGTATTTTGTAGCTAAGAACTTGTTCTAATAGTGTCATTGCAGTCTTTCTATCTGTTGTAGTTTCCAGAAATAAATACAAAGAATTACTTTTAGAGCGAATTACACAGAATGTTAACAATACTGACAAGAAAAAAATATCTATATTCTGTGGTCTTCCTAAGACAACAGGGTTTGCTAATAACTTTGCAATGTGAAATGTTATGGTCCATGTCATGCAGGAGGTACTCTGATTCAGGAAAAAATAAAAAATAAAATAAAATAAAATCAGCATAAGCCTGCAGCCTTAAAAAACAAGGTTTTATAAATAAACAAACAACAAAGTAGTTTATTACCTTTCTCAGCAATTTGCAAATGAAAACTGCAGTTTGATCACAGATGTTGCGGGCACTGTTGAGGTACCAACCTGCTGAATTCACAGAAACAGTTTTAAGTGGTTTTGATCGCTAAGCAAAGTAGTCTGCAGATAAATAATTGGAGCCCTACCTCAAAGTTTAAGCAGAAGAACTAAAAGACATGGTCTGGGCTTTACTGCCTGCTGTGTTTCCTATTCATTTAAGGAACAAGAAGTGTAATTTGCTTCAGTATTTGTCTTTTTCAGTTACTGCTTTTTTATTTCACTGAAGCATAACTGTGAAACTAAAATATGTGTTTAGTAACCTGATATGGAAAAAAAAAAAAAAAAAAAAAATCAATCATGCTGCGATTATTTGTATGTTGTCAATGGGTTTATGGGCTGGTTCAGCCCAGTTCCGTGACTAGCGGGGCAGAGGGATTTCACAAAATCTGCACCTCCAGAAGAAAGGGAACAGGGGACCCCAAAATAATTAAAAACAGTGGCAACGATCTGAGAAGAAACAAACTAACTTCCTAAATATAGTATCGGAATGCAAGATAACACACCATAATACAATATAATTAGAATTGAAACTAATAAATCAAATATAATTAGAGAGAGAGAACGTCTGAAAGGTGGATAGGACATACCACAACGCTGAGGTGAGATGCGCAGTCCAGTTGAGCAGCAGGGAGACAGGAGGAGAGCTGACAAAGAGCATCAGGTCACCTTGCCAGGAGTTATATCTGCTTTCTATGACCGCAAAGTCCCCTGGGAAATGTAGTTCATCTTCTTTTCCAGGCACGTACCCAGAACTTGAGCATTGACAGTTAAGCTCCCAGCGCCCCACATGATGTTATGATGTGGAATATCGAAAACCAAAAATCACAAAATCATGACACCAGGTATATATATCTAACAATTGTAAAACAAGTAGTTAACTGTGATTAATTTCTTGTGTAGTTTGAACACATGAAGTTAAAGTAAATTCTAAAGTTTGTCTCAGGATTTTATGCTGATAAACTACCTTAAAGTTCTGCAACTCAATCACATTTGTTGTTCAAACAAACAATGGTATTTAGCTCACAATTATAAATTACATTGTACACTGTTGCATTGTTATCCCAGATTTCCTGTGTGACAAGAATTAATGTAAGTCATTTAAAAGCTATTCTGTGTATAAAATATCAGAGAGGGACCCCTAAAGTAGTACCTTAATTTGAGTATTAAGTTACATTCAATGCAGGAGACCCATAAGTATCTAAAATAACATAATTTCATCACTCTCCAATGTTATATTCTTATATATTAAGATGAAAGCCTTGAGAGGCATCTAAAATGAACAGCTGGGTAACTTTTAGACTTTTTTTTTTGCTAATGGTATATGGAGCATCAGGAGGGAAGTGAGGAAAGATCTTGCTCCCTATATTTTAATAAAGATGTTAAAGTTTTTCCCAGTGTAAAAGTGAACAGTTATCTACTTTTAGAAAGTCAACTTCCTGCAATAAAATAAATTCACATTAGTAAAATATTTTGGAATTTCTTTATTAAAAAGAAGATAAATCTGTTAATTTTTACAACACTTTACGTCATGAGATGACAGCTACCAATACCAATAAACTTTGCAGATATTGACTTGAGAAATTATGGATGTGGACATAGATGGCTGGTTGGTTTTCAGTGTAATCACATCAGCTAATCTAAAACCATATGTTGAACCATAAAAAGCTCACCTGACTTCATACATTACTAATCTGTGCTGTGTTACTAAAGGTTTTGTTTTGCTTCTTGCAGTGAAAGGGCTCAGAACCGCTGAATGTAATTTATGAAGATGAAGCATCTTTTAAATTTCACCTCATGATCTAGAGCTGGTGATGAGAAAGAAATATGGAGGCTCCACAATTCTTGAGAACCTATAAAACACTGTTCCTACTTCAACATTTATCAATTTTTACCTACTACTACAAGGCTTCAAGCAATCAATTATTACCCAGTTCAGTGAGAGACACAGAGCTGTACCAGATAAACCAGAAATCAATTTTACTGTCTTGTGGCTGATTTCTAAATATGTTTCTCCTTACCACACCTAAAAACAAATGAAGCTAGACTATAATTATTGTTATAGTAATTATTCATTACGGACACAGCAGAATTTACTAATTACTTCAAAGGAAGTTAAAAACTCAAAATCAGATAACTTTTTTTGTTGAGATCTAAATGTACTGTTCTTTTATTATTGTCTCCTAAATAAACAGAAAAATCTTTTATTTTTTCTTTCCCAGAGTATTGTAGTGAATCTAAGAGATATTTCTCATAGTAAAGAGTCTCATGGCTGTTATTATGTCACCATTTTGGATTTCTCTCACCATACAAAAAATATTTTTCCAGCATAAGGCTGCAGTATTCTGTTTCTGAACCATGGAAGTTACAATCGTAATTATCAGCATTTTAATGGAATACGGAATGAAACCTTACATGAAATTCAAAGCAAATGCTGAGTGCTGAGCTTTTTAAGAGACAGCAAAATGAAAATACAGACTTGCTTCCATGCCAGCCTCTTCCTGTGGATTTTTGTAACTGAGTTTGACTCTGCCTGACATCAGCTGAAATGCTGTGAGCAAATTTGGAGCTTATATAACTTTTAAGACATGTTATTTTTATTCCTTCCCTGTAATTAATGTGGAACAGTGGTGAACAAGTTTTAGTGAAGTTTTTCACTCCAGAATCACAGAAAGACACAGAAGGGACCTCTGGGAGTCATCTGGTCCAACCCCTCTTCAATTTAGATTTGATCGCCCACACACAGATAGCTTCTGAGTATCTCCAAGGGTGGAGACTCCACAGCCTCTCTAGACAGCCTCATCCAGGCCTCAGTCACTGTCACATTCTGAAATCTGGCCTTCTATTTTATTGTTATTATTTTTAAACACCCTCTCTTCAGCTATTTGTACACACTGATGAGATTCACCCTATGAACATCTTCTTGTCCAGTTCAGACCCAGCTCCAGAACAATTGACAATTCAGTTTCTTCATTAGCCTTGCCTCACCAGTGCTGAGGAGCTAGCAAGAACCTCCTCCCTTAATCTGTTGGCAGTGCTCCTTCCAGTGCAGCCCAGGATGCCTTTTTTTAATTGCAAGAGTGCATGCCACCTGATGGTCAACTTGATCCCAACAAGGACACTGACAACCTTTTCTGCCAAGCTGCTTTCCAGCTAGGTGCACTCATTCTTGCAGATTTTTCCACCTTCAGTACAGAACTTCACAGTTCTTCTTGTTGAACTGCATGTGGGTCCTGTCAACCCACCTCTCTAGTCTGTTGAGGTCCCTTTGTACAATAGCACAACCCTCTGGGCATACCTGTCATGGCTCTCATTTTTTGGGTCATCTGCAGACTCGAGAGGGTACACAGCTCAACTATCTGTACAAGTGAAGTTTCGGACAGTCTCGTCCCTTCAGCTACACGACTAATTGCTGGCCTCTAAGTATATTTCATGACACTGATTGCCACCTTCCTGGTCATTCAGACACCTTTCAGTCCACCTCGCAGTCTGCTCATCCAGTCTGTAACTCCTCAGCTTCTTTATAATTGCACAGAATACAATGTCAAAAGATAGGTAGAAAATGCATAAGCCCACAGGTCTCCTCTCATCTAACAAGCCAATCCTTTCATTGTTAATAGTTACAAAGGAATAGCTTCTACGTAAGCTGCATATAGAAAAATGAAATGTAGAATATATACAATCTTTCACAGCATTTTCCACAGCTCTTATGAATGTTGAAATCAAAATGTCCAAGAAATAGATATCACCCCATATGATATTTCTCCTTTGCCTAAAAATTTTAGTAATATTAAATAGTATAAACACCAAATTTCACAAAGCCTGGGAAAGTAATAGATCTCTTTAAAAGCCTGTGAAATACCACCTATTTTTGATAGTTTTCCTTTTAATTCTTCTTGTTTCTGATCAGCTGAGTCTGAATACTTTCTAAAGGGCAATGATACTTCCAGGTATAATGACAGCAAAGGACATCAGTGGCAAAGACCCTTTACAACAGCTTGAAACATTTTCCATGGGAATGAGTCACAGGTTCAAAGCCACAGGGCTCTGAACTAGCTTCTTATATAAACTAGGACATGCTCTAATATTTAAGTCTGTCATATTAGGAGATTCATTGCTACTACAGGGTCATTATCTACTCCAGTAATCTCATAAAGCACATGTTGTTTACCTGCAAATATTCTTACAGTGCTTTCCAGTGAGGACAATGCTGCATTTACCTTTTTCACAAGCTGAGCCATTTGCCTATCAGCAATAATTTGTCTGTATGTTCTTTCTACTCAGCTTACGCATAAAAAAAAAAAAAAAAAAAAAAAAAAAAAAAAAAAAAAAAAAAAAAACACACTCCTCTGGTCTGACTTGTACAGCTGTGTTTTGAAACTTTGCCATCATATTCCAAAATAAGTTTATTTTTCTTTGTACAATTTGACTTATGGAAACTTTATTAAATAACTAAAATACAGAGACAGAGTAAAGGCCTATTTATTTCTACTCTTCCACATGCACAGAGAAATGGCTTAAAGAGCTTTATATTCTTTGTTCTTTATTGGACTTCATTAAAGTTTAAATTAAATGCTAGGGATTTGTATTTTCATATATAAAATTTATTTTTCCTCCTAGAGGGGTGCATATACTCTATCAAATATCACACCATATGAAAAATAACATCTTTCAGCAAGCATAAAACCCACAGTGCCGATGGCTATAGCTGTGTTGTAGTTAGACTACATTATTGCCTACTGCTACCTGAACGCAGCCACTAATGCTCAGTTTCGCTGTAAGTAAAGCTGACAACACCTGTGACCACATTTTCCAGCCTGATTACTTTTGTGAAGGGACTGCATCCTCGAGTACAGAACATAATGTGGAGATATACAAATATATTTGTGCAAGATTGATAATTTTACACAAGGTTTAATACTGTTCTGAAATCTTCATTTGTGGGCGAAGCTCTTGTAAGAGTTTCATGTTTTTTCCTCTTTTGAGTGGTTTACACAGTACGCATGCTGATTC